GGGGGGGGGGGGGGGGGGGGGCAATGTGCGAAGTACGGAAAACTAGAAGATGTTTAGATCCATTTCTCTACCTTATTTGTACGAATTGCCGCCTCGTGTTCTCCCCCCCCCCCCCCTTTTTTTTTTTTAAGCTGGGGCCAGGGCACATCCCTTCTGTTGTGCCCTGGCCCCAGCTTGAAAAAGGGGGAGGGACCCATGGCATTTGTACAAATAAGGGGTTCCCCAACAGAGGGGGTCTTATTTGGGCTAAGAAAAGTTATTTTGATCGTCGATTTGAATGTTTCATGACGTAAAAGGGGGGTCTACAAACTCGACCAGAATCCCCAACCAATGATGTGCCCTGGCTGGGAGGGGGGAAACTCTCATCCTTCTTCTCACCATCCTTTCCTCGCACCTCCCTACACCGCTGAAGATCGTAGCATCTCCTAACTTTGGAAGAATTCCTCCCAGTATTGCCGGGCACGATTTTAAGAGTTCACAAAGTGGCCCTTCATTGGTTAAACTACTTCTTTCGTCGGCTGGAAGTGAATAGCACTGGTCGAAAGGGTGCTGAATGTTGACCAGATTCACAACAGCAGGCGCTTTCGAGTGAGGGGAAGTGCAATAGTTGATTGATTCCTAGACCACACGTTTTTCACACTAATGAACATGGTGAATAATACAAAAGTGAGCAAGAAAACTAGAAAAATCTGCCCGTGGTGCCCCATTTAGAGCCCTATGTTGAACCGCGTTCGTAAGGCGAAGAAAGGACGTGGTCGGAGGAGTTCTCACATGTTGATGCCAGCTCTCAGTCTTTACTCTCGCTCTCACCCTTCAAAACAAAGCTAGAAGCGAAACAACCACACCACCAGGAAGTTTTTAGAATGATAGTTGGGCGTAACGATGGCCAATGGGCGGGGCCGGGATCGCATTGCGAGCGGGTCGCGCTTTCCTCAGGATTTTTGCGAAAGTAGTCTATCGTTCATCCTTTCGTACAGGACTACCTTGTCTAAAGAAGGCGTCGGATCGACCTGTGAGCCCCTAAAGGGCGTTTAAGTGTCCTTTACATGTTCAAGTTTTGCCTCAACCATGACTTGTGTATTCTAGTTGGCGATGTGATTGTTGTGGAAGGACCGGCATTTGCGGAGTCAATTTCTGAAGGAGACATTCGATGGATTAAACGTAATTTTAATTTCGTTCAAATTTAGTCCACCTTTGTTTTCTTCCATTGATTATTCCCATTTATAGAGAAAGGAGATTTCGTAAACGAAGACGAGCTGGTTGCTGAGATCGAGACTGATAAGGTCTGTTATTACTTATTTTTCAAGTACCAGTAAAGTTTGCTCTTTGATGTGCTATTGGAAATCAATGTATGATTCACACAAAAGAGACATTCGGCTGCGAAGTTGTGAACTTTCGAGGGATTGAATAATGCCTAGACTAGAGCGAGTTTGTGCATATCCTCTTTCATCCA